AGTGAAGAAATAAGAGAACTGAAGGCTTTGCAAAGTAAGAAAGAAGCTTATGCTGGTTAACTCGTACAAACACTTTCTCAGACCCAAGAAGATCTTCGTGAGTCTTCTAACAAGGTCAGCTTTTTAGAGAGTTCACTCGCTCCTCTGCAAGCTTCTTATGATTCTGCCCAGGCTGAAAATGAAAAACTCAAAAACGAGATTGATCAATGGGAACAAGATTACGAGATTCTTGAGGACAAGACTGCAATTGAAGTGAGTTGGGCAATCTTAAACACACGCCACGATACCCTGGTGGAAGCTAGCCAAGAGGGTTTTAGTTTGGATGCTGAGTTAGCCAAAATAAAAGAGACTATTGAAAAAACTCAGCAAGGCCAAGACTTCCCTTCTCCCATGGCAGATATTCCCGAGCACATTGAAGATGATATGGGTACGGTGAATGCTCCAACTCCTTCAAGCCATCTCGAACCTTCTGCTGCTAATGACCCTGTTTCGGATCCTTCTTCAGCCCCTCAGTGAAAAGTTTATGACATGTTACTTCTCTTTTTTTTGTGGAATGTGGTTGTAACCCCCAGTCCCATTTGGGGGTTTAGTTTTTTGGAAATGATAAGTCCCCAGACCTTTTCGGGGCACTTTTGTATAAATGACAAATAGTTTATGTACTTAGTCTGAACTTTTAATATTAAAAGGTTTTTTGTTTTAACTTATTTATTTTGAGCTTTTGTTTTGCTCGTCTTTGCCTTTATACTTTAAGGACTTGTTAATTAATTCGTGGGTTTATGTTTTACCCGTTTTTTGCATTTTTTGTTTCATAAAATGCTTTATTAACTTCATGGATTTTTGAATCACACATGACTTTTATAAAAGAGGGCCATTTTATTTTCGACACTTAATGAAGAAGACGTCTCAACTTCATAATGGTGTAAATGTACGACAAAAGAAATAGGAACACACATGTTACTTGAAATAACTTTGATAAAGTTTTCATTTGAGCTTTGTCAAGTTTAAATAACATCTTACATGTGTTTAAATAACTTCTATAACTTTTCTCGTAACTGTTTTCTTTACAACAGATTTCAAAAGAGAAAATAAAATTCAAGGTTTTCCTTTATAACCCGTTTCTATACATTGCCTTTAACCTAGATATCATAAAAATTTTAAAATCTATAAGGTTTTTCGACTGGCTTTGTGTTATTGGCTCGTAACTTTGCTCTGAACTTGACTCATTCGATGAGTAGACTTTGAGGCTCTGATTTGTACTTTCGACTATCTTCTTTAGTCTTCTTTGCCTTCTTTATACGTATGTCGTATATTATATAGTCCCCCAAGTGTTTGAGCTTTGAAGTATGAAATCTTGAGCACTTGTTTACTCCTCTTATTAAGTCCTTTCCCTGAAAAGGAAAAAACGTACGGGACTCGGAGGTGCGATTATAGATGAAGACTGCCTAACCCGTTTGAATTTCTATCAGAATAAATTGTAACCCTAGACCGGGAATTTATATTTTTCCACGTGTCTTGCAGGTCGTGACTCATCATTTACTACGGGTTAGCATTTTGCCTATCATCTAAAATCGTTAGTAAAATTTTAACAATTCAAAAATAAAATTCGAAAATGAGGGTACCTACCCGTGGATACTTCTTTTCCTTAGAAATAATATCTCTTCAGATGAACGACATTCCAATATGAAGGTAAAATCTTGCCATCCATTGTTTCCAGCTCGTATGCTCCCTTTCCTGCGATACCGTGGATCTTATAAGGTCCTTCTCAAGTTGGACTTAACTTTCCCGCATTAGCCGCTCTCGTGGATTGAAAAACCTTTTTGAGTACGAAGTCCCCAATCTTGAAGTATCTTAGGTGAGCTTTCCGATTATAATATTGCTCCATAACCTGTTTTTGTGCTGCCATTCTTATTAACGCAGTTTCCCTTCTTTCCTCAAGTAAATCTAAGTTTATTCGCATTTATTCTTCATTAGATTCCTCAGTTGCTTGTGCGTATCTCGTGCTTGGCTCCCCTATCTCGACTGGGATCAAGGCTTCAGCTCTGTATACCAGTAAAAATGGTGTTTCTCTCGTACTTATTTTTGCTGTCGTGCGGTAAGCCCATAAAACACCAGGTAACACCTCTGGCCAATTGCCTTTGGATTCCTCCAATCGTTTCTTCAAATTGTTGATAATGACTTTATTCGTCGATTCAGCTTGTCCATTACCCACCGGATGATAAGGCGTTGAGGTAATCCTTTTGATTTGCCAACTTTGAATAAACTCTGTGATTTGTGTGGCTATAAATTGTGGGCCGTTGTCACATACGATTTCCTTTGGTACGCCGAATCGGCATATGATATTTCGCCAAATGAAATCTCTGACCTCTTTTTCTCGTACCTGTTTAAAAGCACCTGCTTCTACCCACTTAGTAAAGTAATCAGTGAGTACTAGCAAAAATCTTACCTTGCCTTTTGCTTGTGGTAGTGGACCCACGATATCCATCCTCCACTTCATAAAAGGCCACGGTGCAATGACTGGATGTAACAATTCTGCGGGTCTATGCATATTGTTACTGTATCTTTGGCACTTGTCACATTTAGCTACAAAGCTTTCCGCTTCTTCTTCCATTTTGGGCCAATAATAGCCTGCTCTAGTTATGGTTTTCACTAAAGATCTTCCCGCTTGATTTCCACAACGTCCCTCGTGTATTTCTCTCATCACATAATCTGTTTGAGAAGGTCCGAGGCATCTTGCTAAAAGACCACCGAACATTTTACGATAAAGATTGCCTTGCTTTAAACAGTACCGAGCAGCTTTTTTACGAAGCGCGTGAGCTTTTTTCTTATCTTCAGGGACAGTTCCATACTGCAAAAAAAGCGACAATATCGTTCCTCCAATACCAAGTTAAATTATTGAAATTTACCTCATTTCTATCTTGATCAAGTACTGAATGGAATAGATGTATTACAGAGGCATTTTCATCATTTGTTACTTCTGCGCAGATGCAAGATTATCTAAGGCGTCCGCCTCAACATTCTCCTCTCGTGGTATCTGCACAACTTTCCAGGTTTGGAATTGTCTCACCAGATCTCACGCCTTCTCCAGGTATTGCTGCAGTCTTGCCTCCCTGGCTATATAAGTCCCCAGCATTTGGTTAACTACAAACTGCGAATCACTTTTGACTACGACCTGCTCTATGCCAATTTCGCGTGCCAGTTCTAAACCTGCAATCACAGCTTCATACCCTGCTTCATTGTTAGTCATAGGATGACATTTTATAGCTTGTCGTATGGTTTCACCCATAGGTGGTACTAAAATAATTCCTAGACCTGCTCCTTTCACATTCGATGAGTCATCAGTAAATAAGGTCCAGGTTCCTAGATTAGATCCATTGAATACTTGTAGTTCTTTTTCTGCTTCTAGTTGCATCCCTTGGCTAAAATCGGCCAAAAAATCTGCTAACACCTGTGACTTTATTGCAGTTCTAGGTTGATACGTGATGTCATATTCACTTAATTCTATGGCCCACTTGGCTAATCTACCTGATAACTCATGTTTGTGCAATATATTACGTAGGGGATAAGCAGTTACTACAGAGATAGGGTGACACTGAAAATACGGCCTTAATTTCCTAGATGCCATGATTAATGCAAGTGCAAGTTTTTCTAGTTGAGGATACCGTGTCTCAGCATCTAGTAATGATTTGCTTACATAGTAAATAGGAGATTTTTTACCTTGGTCTTCACGAACAAAAACAGCACTCACCGCTTCTTCTGAAACAGCAAGGTAGATAAGCAACCTTTCCCCCTCTTTGGTTTTGCGAGCAACGGTGGATTTGACAAGTATGCTTTCAAGCTTTTGAGCGCTTGCTGACATTCTTCAGACCATTCGAACTGATCTTGCTTTTTAAGAGCTGAAAAGAACTTAAAGCATTTTTCTGATGACTTGGAAATAAATCTTCCCAAGGCTGCTATTCTTCTCGTCAGTCTCTGTACCTCTTTCTTACTTGTAAGCATATCAGGAATCTCTTCAATAGCTTTAATCTGTGCGGGATTTACTTCAATGCCACGGTTAGAAATAAGAAAACCTAAAAACTTACCTGATGAAATGCCAAATGCACATTTCTCGGGATTCAGCTTCATATTGAATTTACGGAGAATCTGAAATGTATCAGACAGGTGGTGTATATGATTCCTTGATTGTTGGGATTGACCAACATATCATCTATGTAGACTTCCATGGTTTTCCCTAAATGTTCTTGGAACATTTTGGTCACCAACTTTTGGTATGTGGCACCAGCATTTTTGAGACCAAATGGTATTACTTTATAACAGTAAGTCCCCATGTCTGTTATAAATGAAGTTTTTTCCTCATCTAGAGGATCCATTTTGATTTGATTATACCCTGAATATGCATCTAAAAAACTTAACAATTCATGCCCTGCAGTAGCATCAATTAGTTGATCTATATGTGATAACAGAAAAGAATCTTTGGGACAAGCTTTGTTTAGGTCAGTGTAATCTACACAAACTTGCCATTTACCATTCTTTTTTGGTACTACTACAGTATTAGCTAACCAATTAGGGTACTTTACCTCGCGAATAGACCCGATTTTTAAAAGTTTTTGCACCTCATCTTGAATCACCTGATTTTTGAACGCTCCCTGCTTTCTTTTCTTTTATTTGATAGGTGTATATGATGGATCTTCATTTAACTTGTGAGTCATTATTTCCGAAGGTATTCCTGTCATGTCAGAGTGGGACCAGGCAAAACAATCAACGTTAGTTTTCAAAAATTCAGTTATCTTACCTTTCATTTCGTGGCTCAAGTTGGCCCCAATATAGACTTTCCTTTCAGGCTTTTGTGTGAATAGTTTTATAGCCTCCAACTCCTCAATCGTTGTTTTGATGTTTCCATTTTCTTCCGGTTCTTGGATGGAATCGGGCCTTGAGTCCACATCTGTTCGCCCATGTTCAGTTGAGGCTTGCGTCGTAGTATCCTTAACTGGATTCTGTAATTGCTATTTTTCTTTATTTTTTGTGCTTGAATCTGCTACGGAGTTGATGCTCCTAGGTGTTTGTTGATCACCACGGATTTGACGGATTCCCCATTGTGATGGGAATTTAATGACTTGATGTAAGGTAGATGGAACAGCATCCATTTCATGAATCCATGGTCTCCCGAGAATCATATTGTAAGCCATATCCATCTCTACCCCTTGAAATTTCGTATCTTTGACAACTCCCTCTGCGAATGTTGTAAGTACTACCTCCCCTTCTGTCATGACGCTTGAATTGTCAAAGCCAGATAACGTATGTGCCTTAGGTACTAGCTTATCTTCGGCTTGCATCTCGTTTAATACTCTTAGTAAAATGATGTTCACGGAACTACCTGGATCAATCAAAACTCGTTTCACATTAGTATCATGTACAAGTAAAGATATTATCAGTGCATCGTTGTGTGGAGTTAACACGCCGTCCGCATCTGCATCATCAAATGTAATACTCTCCTCCTCCGAAACATGTCGGACCCGCTTCCCGTGTGTAACTGAAACTTTTGAAACTTTCTTGGCTGCCGTGTACGTCACGCCATTAATTTCTTCTCCCCCGCTTATAACGTTAACGGTCCTTTTTGGTGAAGGAGGTTTAGGAGGTTCCTGCCTGTTTTTCATATATGCTTGTTTACCTTTTTCACTAAACAACTCAGTAAGATATCCCTGCTTTAACAAATGGTCAACTTCACCCTGTAGCAATCTACAATCCGCCGTTTTGTGACCGTGATCGTGATGAAACTCGCACCAATGATCAGAATTTTGTCTATTTGGGTTTGATCTCATTTCTTTCGGCCAGCGTACCTTGTCGCCCATGCTTCTCAAAACATCCACCAATTCAGACGTGCTTACATTGAACTGTAACCGCCGATTTCGCCTTAGAACTTTTGTCATCATCAAGCGTCTCTCGTGCATTTCGTTTTTTCCTAAACCTTGATGATGAACCTGACTCTCTGTCTCTTGACCTATGATCGTACCTTGAATTATCCTGTTTCGATCGTGAGTCTCTTCCCGCTGGTCCCATATAAGGCTCGTATCTGTTTTTACCAGACCTTTTTTCAGTTTCAGCACGCCTTGAACTTACCCTCTCCTCTTTTTGAAACTGGGTAATAGTATCTTCTTCTATCCGCATCTTCGTGCTATATCTGTGGTAAACGTCATTCCAAGTTGTTGCTGGAAATTCTCGCAGGCTTTCCTTAAGTCGTCTCGTGGACTCCGAACTCTTCTCATTTAGATTACTGGTAAATGCCATAGCTGCCCAGTTATCAGGTACGCGAGGCAACGTCATCCGTTCACGCTGGAATCTGTCTACGAATTCTCTGAGCAGCTCTGAATCTCCTTGCTTTATTTTGAAAATATCCTCCATTCTTTTTTCGACTTTTTGAGCTCCCGAGTGTGCTTTAATAAATGAATCTGCAAGCTCAGCAAAAGAATTTACAGAATTTTCGGGCAAAAGAGAATACCATGTTAATGCTCCTTTAGTGAGTGTTTCACCGAATTTTTTGACCAGCACTGATTCAATTTCTTGTTTGGTTAAATCGTTGTCGTTTACGCTAGTGGTGAATGCAGTCACGTGGTCTCGTGGATCGGTTGTGCCATCGTATTTTGGGATGTCGGGCATCTTGAATTTCTTCGGAATCGGTAGAGGAGCAGCACTGGGTTTCCAAGGTTGTTGTTAATATTTATCCATATCTATTCCCTTGACTGCATGCGGTACACCAGGTATTTGCTCTATGCGATCGCTTTGCTCCTTAAGCTGTTTCTGCAAGGTTAATACTAAATTTTGTAAATCAGAATTAACTATTTTACCTGGTTCGCCATCGCGAGATTCGCTGGGAGTTCCACCACTACCTGAATTAACGAGCCCAGAACGTGGGTTTTCCAAAGTATTATTATTCGGAGTTGGTGTTGGTGGTGCGACCGACAACTGGCTAGCGAAAGCCTCAAGAGCTTTGCTGACTTGTTGAGCGATTAACTTTTGTAAAGCTTCGTTGATAGCCTCATCATTTTCCAATTGATCATTTGCATTTGATTGAGATCCATCAGGAGTTCCTTCTCGAGATTGTCGAGGAGAACTTAATGGAGAAGGGATAGGGGTTCCATTACCTTGCAAATTCTCCTGGAGTTGACGGTCTCTTTGATTGTTGTTGTCGTTGACATTCGACATGATTGATTTAATAAAAAGATTAATGTAGGAAGGAATAAATTGTCAGATTCCCGGTAACGGAACCAATTTGTTTAACAAAAATTTGGGATTTCGGTCAAAGCTTTATTTTAGAAGAACTCGGGTTAATGATAATCAAATATATAATGAATAAAAGAAATTGACTTCAATAAGCATAAGAAAGCAAAATAAATCTGTTTATTGCAATAGCATTTCGTGTCCTTACAAATGTTCAATCTTCCCCCTTTTATATCTATCTCGAAGTAATACGTTTTTTCCTTTATCATAATAGAGTCTTTATGATAATTAATGGCATTAGTGTAACGTTATGATTGGTAATCATAACTGATTCATTACAAATTCCATAACGCTTTCCGTAATTAATGTCTATTAATTACCAATAATACATATATGTACCTCTTTTACTACAAAAGTTCATTCTTCTGATATAACTGATGAATATCAATAGGTACGAGCTTTTGTCCTTCCTCTCCCGGTGCCTGTTGAAGCTAGTGCCTTTTTACTTTGCCAATCAGTCATTTTTCTACTAGTCAACGTGTCATGATATATCACCTCATATTTAATTTTATATACGAACTCAATTTTTCCCAATACACGGGGTAATTAGACTCTGTACAACAGACCAATTGGGGTTCAGCTTTGGTCCTAATCTCGCATATAATGGGAGGTTAGTGTACTAGCTTGGCATTTATTGTTCAGTTATATAAAACTGCAAACATGTTAGTATTACATTTAGGCAAAAAAACATACTTTACCCATCGACCTTGCACTCAAATCCCTCTTACACACTTGTTAAACACGGAAATAGTATTATATACCAAAACTTCTAAAAGTGTGTCAATTACACACCTCTTTTGCCATGTGTCACACGCGTGTATCACACATAAAAGAGGCGCGTGAAAACTAAAAATCTCATCTGAAATTAAGTTTTTGTTTTATTTTTTCCGTTTTTTAATTATTTCCTTTTTAAATTAAAGAAAAAAAATATCAACCCATGTCTTCTTCCTCAACCCCAAACCCCAGCGCCTCCCCCTCCCCTCCAGGTTCATCTTCTTACCCCAACCCCATCCTAGTTTTGTCTCGCCCTCACCTCTCCGACCCCATGACTAAGAAGAAAAAGATAAAGAAGAAGAAAAGGGGAGCTATTGGGTCTTGTAAAAATCACAATTATTGACCTTTTGAAAAGCTTGAAATTTTGATCGGGTCTTGTTGATTTTGGTATTCCATGACCTAGAAATTAATTTGAATTCGTGATTATTGTTGAGAAAAAATTTNTATATATATATATATATATATATAATTGGATATACAATTAGGAAAATATTAATAGTTTTAATATTTTTAATTATGAAAAGTGGGTGTCATTAATCAGTAGTTAAATGAAAACAAAACAATCCCAAAAAAAATATAAAAAATAAAAGCAATAAAACAAAAAAAGAAGCAGGGGACAAACCTAAAAGCCCATAAAGGGCTAGTAGGACCAAAACTTTATACGAAAAAAAAACAGAGAGACATTCTGTCCTTCGCACGAACCGAACCGGCAAAACGGAGGCTCTTTATCACGCAGGCACGGAAAATTTAGGGTTCTTTACAAATCACTAATTCTTGAACTCAGATATATAAAATTCCCTATTGTCAATTACCCTACAGTAGTAATAGGTAAGAACTGAATAGTTATTCCCTTCTTCCTCTATATCAACAATAAATTTCACGTTTAGGTGTGAAATTTTAAAATTGATTAAAATGCACTGTTGTTGTAGAATCGATTGTTTGACTGGTGTCAATTGGCTGGGGCCTACGTATTGGCTCGAGAAGTATTGAGGTGAGTTGATATAACCCTTTACTAAAGTGGTTTAACTCACAAAAGCACGCACACAAGGTGTTTGATGAATTGCATAAAAGAGTTAATATATACTTAATTGGAGTATTAAGTACCTATTAGCTTAGAATTATTTTCTAGCTAAAGTTTAGATGATTATTTGGATATATGTGCATAAATTTCAGATTTTTATGTTATTCTTT